CGCGGACAAACGCCCAAGATCCCCAGACACGGAACGCAGACGCATCGCCAACCTTCCCGGTCCACAGCAAAGCTGGGGAGGTCTCCGGCATGGAGACCCTGGGCTGAAGGTTGATCTGATGCGCCGCGTACCGAACTGCAAACGGCCACAGAAAATGGGGGGCAGCCGCATGCATCATGGACGTACGGGCGACGTCCATGACCATGCCAATGCGGCGCTCAGCAATCCCATTTTGCTGTGGAGAGTCCGGAAGCGTGAAGGTCTGGCGGATGCCTCGTGCACGACAGTAGCCTCGCAGAAGGCCAGAGGAGAACTCTCCGCCTCTGTCAGAGTGTAGACGCAGAACAGGAAAGTCCGAGCCGAAGCTCTGCCTGAGCTGGAGACGAGCTGCGCGGATCCAGTCGATCAACACCTCAGTGACATCACCCTTGCTGCGCAAGGGGAATACTGTGGTGTAACGCGAGTAGTCGTCAACCACCAGCAGGAAGTAGCGCTCGTGACCTTGTCCACGGACGCGGGCTGGGCCCCACACGTCCATGTGAAGCGTCTGCAGCGGGGCCTCTGTCGGAGGAAACTGGGAGGAGTGAGAGGCAGCCCGCTGCCGCCCCTCGACGCAGGGGACGCAGGCAGGGGCAGGCCCCAGGGGAAGGGGAGGGAGGGACCGGGGAAGACCAGAGACAAGGACACGGGAGGCCATGCCTCGGAGACGAAGCAGGGAGGGGTGACCAAGGCGGTGGTGCTAGAGGAGAGTCTCATGAGAGAGGAGGCGACACGAGCAGGGGGCAGACTCAGGACCAGACCTGGACGCTGGAGCAAACACCTGACCCGACGCAGCTACCTGACCAGACACAGTGACAGGAGGAGACTTAGTGGTCAGTGTGTACAGGCTCGACCCCGGCCGACGTGTAAACGTGGCCAGGTGTCGGCCTGTCCGAGCGTCCGTGCAGTGGGTCACCCGCTGACTCGCAGGAGTGAACTGGTGAACCCTCGCATCCTGTAGGTCAGCACCACTCACCAAGTTCGTAGAGAACGAGGGGAGGTAAAGACCAGACAGGGTGCCAGAGGGGGCCGTTGGACACGGGAGGACAGTGGAGAAGTGAGCAAGGACAGGACCCCCAGAGGGGTCTGCCAGAGAGACTGCAACTGGCCGACCAAGCGGCGTGAGTGTGGTGCGGTCTCGAAAGAAGGAGCGAGAAGCCCCCGAGTCAAGGGTGAAGGTGTGGGAGGCCGAAGCCGACGCGGTACCTGAGAGAGCAGACTCACCAGCACCTGAGGAAGCAGACGCACTGGCACCTAGCGCAACAGCCTCGCTAGCACCTAGAGCAGCAGCCTCACCAGTACCTAGAGCAGCAGTCTCAATGCCCGGGTCGGGCGGAAAACACCGATAACAGTCACCCTCATCACTAATAGTCACAGCATACATGGCAGCAAGAATAGCATCAAAGTCAAGGTCAAAGATAGCTACTCCCGCCCTAGACAACTCGCCCCAGCGAGGGATCTCAGTGGCCTCAGGGAACTGGTGACGCCAAGCGTCCGTCAGGCGGCCAAAGCAGCGCTGGGTGGAGTGCGCACCCCCGCACTGCTCACCCGCGCGGTCGCCGGTGTGTAGGACGTAGGTGCACGGACCAGTACCCCCACCCCGCTAGCGTGCAGCGTACCACTTACGGAGCTGCTGAGGGGGGGGGGATGTCACGAGTGCGCTGCTGCTGCTGGCGCTGACCACCACCGGAGCCGACCCTCTGCGCAGCGCCACCCCGACCAGCTCCGCCTCCTCCGCCGCCGCCTCCTCCTCCGCCGCCACCTCCGCCACCTCCGCCCCCACCGCCACCGCCGCCTCCGCCTCCGCCTCCACTGCCGCCACCGACACCTCCATTCCCGCCACCACTCCCACCACCACCCCCATCCCCTCCACTGCCGCCACCACCACCTCCGCCACCCCCGCCAGCCCCTCCAGCGCCCTTGCCCCCCTTGCCCTTGCCGGCGCGGCGTCTCCCGCTCGGGGCAGACGCAGCGCCGACCGACTCGAAACCAACGAGGTCAGCCGCAGCAGCAGAGGCAACAGAGGGCAAAAGGGGGGAGGGGGAACACCCCTCAAAGACGGGGGTGCGAGGGTCACCACGAGAGGCTCCTACAGCGACTATGCTATTCTCTGCCGCTAGGAGGGCCTTCTCGAGGAGGTCAACGGTGAGAGTGGTGGGGCAAACTGAGAGGAAGTGGTCCCTGACTACGCGGAGAGAGTCAGGGAGTCGGTTGACTATGTAGTAGAGGGTGATGTACATGGGGGGGGGGTTCTTGGCGCAGAACTCAGCAGGAAGCGCAGCGCGGTAGCGAGTGTCACTAGTGCGGAGGTGCGTAATGAGGTCAGTGACTGTGGGAAAGGCAGCAAGGTCAGGGAAGAGGTACGGTAGTATGAGGCGGCTCAGTGCAGCAGTGGCAGGGGAGGAGTAGCGTGCAACTACAGCGTCGTACAAGGTCTGAGCACTCTTTTACTGGCTAATGTGCGCACGCTCAGAGGTAGGCAGGTGGCGACGCACAGCAAGACGTGCAGCAGCATCGCGTGTGGCCCACTGTGAGCGAACAGTGGCGTCAGCATCAGCAGCAGGGGCAGGAGAGGCACCAGAAGTGAGGTCAAAGAGGGAGAGACCGTCTGCCCTATCGCAGTGTAGGAAAAGCTGCAGGTCATCTACCCAGACGTCAAAGTCAATGGCCCGACCCTTAGCGTCAAAAGCGAGGACACTAGGGGTAGCCATGACAGCAGTAGACTAGCAGCGCGAACTGTAGGGTAAGGGCAGTGCAGTGATAGAGGCACTGCTCTTACCGGACAGGGCGGCTCGGGCGGCTCGGCGGCTCGGCAGGAAATGCAGCTCGGCGACTCGGCGGCTCTGGCGGCTCGGGCGACTCGGTGGTACGGCGGCTCGGCAGCAACTGCGGCTCGGCAACTCGGCGGCTCTCGCGGCTCTCGACGATACGGCGGCTCGGCAGCTCGGCGACCCGGCGGCTCGGGCGGCTCAGGTGGCGCGACGGATCGGGCGGCTCGGGTGGCTCGGGCGGCTCGGCAGTAGCTCGGCGGCGCTGGCGGCTCGGTGGTGACGGCGGGGCCGCGTAGGGACGGCGGCGGGGCCGGTAGAGGCGGCGCCGGGGCCGGCAAGGGTAGCGCCGGGGCCGCAGGGTAGGCGACGGGGCCAGCAGAGGCGGCGCCGGGGCCGGGAAGGGCGGCGCTGGGGCCGCAGGGGTAGGCGACGGGGCCAGCAGAGGCGGCGCCGGGGCCGGGAAGGGCGGCGCCGGGGCCGGGAAGGGCGGCGCCGGGGCCGCAGGGTAGGCGACGGGGCCAGCAGAGGCGGCGCCGGGGCCGCGAAGGGCGGCGCCGGGGCCGCAGGGGTAGGCGACGGGGCCGCTAGGGCGGCTAGGAGGGGGGTCGCGAGGGCGGCTTGAAGAGGCCGCGAGGGCGGCACGAACGGGCCGCGAGGGCGGCGCGACGCGACGGAGCCGCGAGGGCGGCGGATCGGGGCCGCGAGGGCGGCGCGACGCGGCCGCTAGGGCGGCGCGACGTGACGGGGACGCGAGGGCGACGCGACGGGGCCGCAAGCGCGACGCGACGGGGCCGCTAAGGCGGCGCGACAGGGTCGAAAGAGGGGAGCGCGACTCGGGCAGAGTAGAGCGCGCTCCGGGCAGGAAAAAAGTGGTGGGCCCTAGGAACAGTTCCCACAGGGGAACCTGCTCGATACCATGAAAAAATGAACGAGAATGAATTGACTAAGGGAAAGTTGGGTACAAGTACAAAACCCTAGAAAGTCGTACCCCATATGTGCTACCCCACTATAGCCTGCAACAACTATGTCATATAAATCTGACAAACTGGCCTTGTGGCCTTGAACTTGTGCTCGGAATGTGTGGTGACGTTGTGATCCACCCTGAGCTTGCTTTGCTTTGCTTGACTGGTCTTGTGACCTCTTGTTCTCCCCCACTTTGCCTATGGGGGTGTGTCAAACTCATATGGTATAGTCTGTGTAGGCTGTAGTGGGGTAGACAATATGGGGTACAACATTTCTAGGTTTTCTACTTGTACCCACACCTCACCTAGTCAATTCATTCCTCATTTCTTCACAAGTGTGAAGCTATTCTGGCTCGGTTTTGTATATAGTCACTCAAAAAATAATACCAACACTTGCAAAAAATATAGAAACCAATCGGATAGGGATGCGACCCGGGAGGCATCAACCCTAAAACAATGCCCATTCCTGTGTTAGGGTTGACCTTTCTCGAAAATGCATCCAGGTTCCCTCGTGGTTTGATTTTTTTCTGCCATGCCCTAATAGTTCTCTGTAGCGTTGTTTAGTGCTTTCGGAGCGTTGTTTAGTGGTCGGTTGCGCTACCGAGCACTACCAAGTGAATTATATGGGCTTCATCCGCTTACTACCTAAATTTTCGCACTTATATCCAAGTCGGGTGGGTAAACTGGACGGTTCTGTTTTTGTCACTTTCTAATGAGTTCGACCAGCGTGGGATTTGTGACTAAAAAGCGATGATCAATCAACGTTGAGAAAGTCCAGGATGATTACACCTCAGAACGCGCTCAGGCAAAATCTGAGTATTGGAGATAATGACCGCTAGAAGTTGCTTCAACGTTGAGGGTCGTCCTGCGAGTATTCTCGCTCGTGTTTTGACGCAAACGGTCGCAAGCCAATCAGGGTTGCCGAAAACAAGATGAAACCAAAGCGACCTGAAACTCTAGTTGTGGTGCTAGGAGCTCTGTCGTTTCGCCAATCACTCTTGTTGCCGTATCTCGCAAAATGGTAATGGCTCGCGACGATTCGTGCCTTCTTGTTAAATATGAATGCATTGCTGGTTATCTTTATTTTTTTCCGGAAAGTGAAACCGCCAAAAAGAACCCAAATGCAACATACATAAAACCCCCCTCAAGATACCCAATCAAAACGTCCAGTCAAAACACCCCATCAAGACATCCCATCCCACACCCCATTTCTCCTCCCCCCCCCCAATCACAACAGCGTATCCACCATGTACGGGGCCTCCACCCAGAGAGCCCCGCCTTCCACATCAACATCGTCCCTCTCCCGGTCCACCAAATCTACGTTAATCCCCCCCCCCATGGAAGACGCCGCTCGAAGCAGGATGACACGGGCTTGCGCACGTTGTAACGCCACCCCGATGAGCGCCTTCAGTGACCCTAAAAGATAAGCCGAAAACACAGTGTCGTCCTCACGACAAGCCCCCCGCAACACGGCTAGCCCCAAGTGTGCATCCCCCTGCTGACGAAGCCACCACCGAAAACGACCGCCGAGACACCCCCACGTCTCTACTATCAGAGGGGGTGAATTGCACGCCCCGGTTGCGTGCAAGCAGAGGCGCGTAATCATTTGTTTTGCGACGCTCCCACTCTCTTGCCGCCACACCTATGAATCGCCCGCACTGTCCTAGCAGAGATGGAGACAGCGATAGCGGGTCTGCGACGCTGATCTCTAGGGCGTGAGCCTCTCCAGCCATTGGCCGTCGCACCGCCACATCAACCTGCTTCCCCTGCAGCACCACACTATCCTCCATTGTCACCACCCCCCCCGACACCTTAGAGATCTTCGCCACCGCAAACTTCACCTCATCATGCACCCGAGATGGACCATGCTAGTGCTTGCATCTCAGGGCATGATGCGGGTCAGCTGGGTCAACATACACTGTGTCACAAACACACCTCCCCGCCACCTGCAGCTGCTGAATTGGGAGCCCGAGCCGTATAGCAGCAGCAATGCCCCACTCAGCCGCAGTGAATGTGAGATCTGAGTGAGCCGGAGCCGCCGAAACCCATGCACCCGCTCCCGGGCCCTGAAGGAATGTGAAACGGGCCAAGGTAGCATCGTCACGAGCCAAGCGGTGCAGTGCCTGGAGCTCCTCTACAGCTAACTGCCGCTGCCGCGCCTGGAAAAGCCAAACAGGAGGGGCCGCTACACACAGAGGTAAGCCCGGTATCTCCTGGTGGATAGTCGCTGGCAGCTGCTCAAGAGCCTTGACAAACCACGGGTCAAGAAACCTTGCCCCTGTCGAAGTGGTGAGGTACTCTGCAAACATCGCCTCCTCGCCCGCCACCCCTAACTGTGCAATGTCATGCGCGGCCTGCGCCCACCCACAAACATAGGACAGTGGGCTCAAAGAGGCCGCCGCCCGGATCCCGAACCCTCCGAGTCGCACCGGGAGATGCAGCTGCATGCGTGCGCGCCTAGACTAGTCGGGGTCTTTCAAGTGCCAGGTGGGAAAAGTTGCTCAAAGCAATCCTCCAAACAACTGTCCCAATCCCTAAAAGCCTCAACCACCTCCGGACGCGGCGGTATAGTCCGAGCGAGGTACATCGGCCGCGCTGAAATTGCAATGACGAGAAGGTGTGAAGCCATCTGGGGGTGGTCGAGCAAGGGGAGACATGGCAGTGGCGCCTGCAACTGTCGAAGCCGCTCCCGTAGCCGGACCACCTCCCAATCCTCCTCCCCAATAGGCACGCCCACCACAGTAAGACCCTCCTCCACCCGCTGCATCCCCAATGGCAGTGCCTGCTCCACATCCGTGCCCTCGCGCTCCCAAAACCGGCACTTGTGCGCCTGCACCTTCAACCCCACCCACTCCAACCGCTCCCGCAACACCCCAAAAGCCTCCAGAATCCTAGCCGCTAGCCCCAAGATATAGGTATCGTCTGCATAGCTGAGGAAAACCAGGTCCCCGAACTCCCTAGTAGCCGGCTCCATCACCTGCTGCTGCGTGAACGCGAAAAGAAAAGGGCCGAGCGAGTCCCCCTGCCTCGATCCCCGTGCTGACTCGAGGCTCTGTACGAAAGGGCCTGCTCGGAGGTACAGGTCGCTAGGTGTCCCATAGAAAACACGCAAGAATGGGATCATCCCCGAGAAAGGCGACCCCCGCAGCACATCGAACATCGCATGACGGTGAAACGAATTGAAGGTGTTTGCGACGTCTATCTGTAGTGCACACCAGTCGGGGTGAGTGGCCAGCACTGACCGGAAAGAATGGATGAGAATCTCCGCACCGACCCTAGTGCCCGCTCCCAGCTGGTTGCACGGCAGGAAGTAGGAAGCCATCGCAGGGCGGAGCGAGATGCAAAGAGCTCGAGCAAGGATACGAGGAAGCACCTCCCGGATCGCCACCGGCCGGACGTCGCCGTTAGGCTTGGAAAGCCCGACTAGGTTGGATGCGGCGAGCCACGGCCGAGCCCGCTCGGGGACCTGTCCCGCCACCCATTGGTTGAACACTTCCAACAGGTGGGAGAGGCAGGAAGGTTCAGTGAGGAAGGTGTCGCGCAGATGCTCTGTGACCCACCCCGATGGCCCTGCTGCTGAAGCTCGAGCGGCTGTATGGATAGCTCTGGCCAGGATGTTGGTCGTGAGTGAAGGCCGCTGAGCAGTATCGACGGTGAAATTGCGGACCCACTGTGGTACCTCGCCAGTGCTAGTCGGGTGCTTCTCTCGAAGCGACTGCACCATGGCCTCAGACGGTTGAGCCAACTCCCTTGCTGTAAGGCAGGCCAATCCACGGCCCCACTCCCCCACTTTGCACCGAGATCAGCACCGTGACAGGCGGATGGCATCCGGGTCCTGGTCAGAGCAAGTGTAGGAAAGTGGGCGAACTGCTAGCCGCGCCGCCGCCATGGCAGAGTCGAACAGCTCCCGCCACCTCCCCTCCCAGAATGCACCCAGCCACTCTGTGATCAGCGCCTTCTGACCTGTGCCTGGCTTGGGAGGCACGGCTAGGATGAGGCGCGGAAACGCCAAGAGTAGGAGGGTAGCGGCTTCATCTCCCGGTTGGCTCTTCAAGCGCTTTAGGATGCAACAGAGCACGTCTAAGACCCCCGACCTGGCCCGCTGTGGGATCCGGCGCACTGTCCTCCCTCCAACCGCCTCCATACTGAAAAATGTTTCCCACTCCCATGACGTAACCCCAGCCCACGCCTCGTCCCCAAATTCCTGCGGCGTCGGTCGCTCCTACGTGTCGGTCTCCACCAGAGACGGAATCGAGCCGAGAGCCTGTCCACGCCTCTCCACCTCAGCCGCCCGGCATACCCTCATGTGGTTTGCAGCGGCCCCTCGCGTAGCGAAAGTGTGAAAACACGTGTCACAAGGAAAACGGGGGCATAGGGAAGGCGGCCTGGGAGGTTCTCCGTCTGCCTCTGACACCTCCGCAGTCGCCATGGGGGTACCAAACTCCAATAGTTGACACCACTCCTCCAACTGCTGCTCCTGGTCGTCCATCGATCGCCCCCCTGCCTGCTGCTCCTGGTCGTCCTGCGCTCCCTGGGGTGCCCAGGGCACCCTCGGCTGCCCCCCTGGCTGCTGCGCTCCCTGGGGTGCCCCGGTCAACCCCAGCTGCCCCCCTGCCAGCTGCTCTCCCTGCCGTGCTCCGGGCACCCTCGGCTGCCCTCCTGCCTGCTGCACTCCCTGTGGTGCCCGGGGCACCCTCGGCTGCCCTCCTGCCTGCTGCACTCCGTGGGGTTCCCCGGGCACCCTCGGCTGCCCTCCTGCCTGCTGCACTCCCTGGGGTGCCCCGGTCACCCCCGGCTGCTCCCCTGCCTGCTGCTCGCCCTGGGGTGCTCGGGTCATCCCCGGCTGCCCTCCTGCCTGCTGCACTCCCTGGGCTGCTCAGGTCACCCTCGGCTGCTCCCCTGCCTGCTGCTCGCCCTGGGGTGCTCGGGTCACCCCCGGCTGTCCCCCTAGCTGCTGCTTTCCCTGGGGTGCTTCGGTCACCCCCGGCTGCCCCCCTGCGTGCTGCTCTCCCTGGGGTGCTCCGGGCACCCTCGGCTGCCCTCCTACCTGCTGCACTCCCTGGGGTGCCCCGGGCACCCTCGGCTCCCCACCTGCCTGCTGCACTCCCTGGGGTGTCCCGGGCACCCCCGGCTGCCCTCCTGCCTGCTGCACTCCCTAGGGTGCTTTGGGCACCCCCGGCTCCCCACCTGCCTGCTGCACTCCCTGTGGTGCCCCGGGCACCCTCGGCTGCCCTCCTGCATGCTGCTTTCCCTGGGGTGCTTCGATCACCCCCGGCTGCCCCCGTGCGTGCTGCTCTCCCTGGGGTGCTCCGGGCACCCTCGGCTGCCCTCCTACCTGCTGCACTCCCTGGGGTGCCCCAGGCACCCTCGGCTGCCCTCCTGCCTGCTGCACTTCCTGGGGTGCCCCGGGCACCCCCGGCTGCCCTCCTGCCTGCTGCACTTCCTGGGGTGCTTTGGGCACCCCCGGCTCCCCACCTGCCTGCTGCACTCCCTGTTGTGCCCCAAGCACCCTCGGCTGCCCTCCTGCCTGCTGCACTCCCTGGGGTGCTCCGGGCACCCTCGGCTGCCCTCCTGCCTGCTGCACTCCCTGGGGTGCTCCTGTCATCCCCAGCTGCCCCCCTGCCTGCTGCACTCCCTGTGGTGCCCCGGGCACCCTCGGCTGCCCTCCTGCCTGCTGCACTCCCTGGGGTGCTCCGGTCACCCCCAGCTGCCCCCCTGCCTGCTGCACTCCCTGGGGTGCCCCGGGCACCCTCGGCTGCCCCCCTGCCTGCTGCACTCCCTGGGGTGCCCCGGGCACCCTCAGCTGCCCTCCTGCCTGCTGCACTCCCTGGGGTGCCCCGGGCACCCTCGGCTGCCCCCCTGCCTGTTGCTCTCCCTGGGGTGCTCCGGGCACCCTCGGCTGCCCTCCTGCCTGCTGCGCTCCCTGGGGTGCTCCGGTCAACCCCGGCTGCCACCCTGGCTGCTGCTCTCCTTGGGGTGCCCCGGGCACCCAGGGCTGCCCCCCCGCCCGCGGAGCTCCCTGGGGTGTCTCAGTCGCCCCCGGCTGCCCCTCCGCCTGCTGTGCAGCAGCACCGCTTCCAGTGCGCCCTTGCGACTTACAGGCGTGTCGTCTCCCGCCTCGGCCCCGTGCCTGGGTTCTCTTCGCTTGGCTTGTAGCGTCCGCACTAGCGACCTCCAGCTGCCCCCGCGCCGGCAGCTCCCGCCGCTCCCCCTCCGACAGCTCCTGCTGCCCTCCCCCCGACAACTCCTGCTGCCCTCCTGTTGGCAGCTCTTGCCGCTCTTCCCCCAGCAGCTCCTGCTGCCCTCCTGCCTGCAGCCGGGCCTGGTTCCCTGATTGGTCCTGCTGCACCTCTGGCTGTAGCTCGGCCATCTCCACGTCTACCGCTTGCTGCTCCCTTGCTTGCTGCTCCCTTGCCGGCAGCTCCTGCTGCTCTTCCCTTGGCAGCTCATGCTGCTCTCCCCCGGGCGGCTCCTGCTCCCCTCCTGCATGTGGCCGGGCCCGGTTCCCCGATTGGTCCTGCTGCGCCTCTGGCTGTAGCTCGGCCATCTCCACTTCTACCACTTGCTGCCCTCCCGCCGGCAGCTCCTGCTGCCCTCCCGCCGGCACCTCTTGCTGCCCTCCCACCGGTACCTCCTGCTGCCCTCCCGCTGGCACCTCCTGCTGCCCTCCCGTTGGCACCTCCTGCTGCCCTCCCGCTAGCCGCTCCCGCTGCCCTCCTGCCTGCAGCTCCCGCTGCCCTCCCGCCGGCCGCACCTGCTGCTCTCCCGTCGGCAGTACCTGCTGCTCGCCTGCCGACCGCGCCTGCCGCCCTCTTGCCTGCGGCTCTTGCTGCCCTCTCGCCGGCCACACCTGCTCCCCTCTCGCCGGCAGCTCCTGCTGCCCTCCCGCCGGCAGCACCTGCTGCCCCCTTGCTTGTGACTTCCAGGCCTCCCCCAACAGCCAGTTCCGTTGCCCCCCCTCCTGCCACGAGGACTGGGTTCCTGTTGGACTCCCCTGCTGCACTTCCGCCCGAGCTCTCCGTCTCTGTTCCTGCCTTTGGGCCAGGCGAGGCCCGCGCGGAGCTGTGAGGGCTGAGCGTGCCAAGGGATTTCCCAGGGCCGTCCGCCACCTATCATGAGACTCCTGCAGTCACCGGCGGTGTGCCTCCCATGCAACCATCGCCGCGTCATCACCGGTACCTTACCTGTGCACCCCATGACCGCACTCGCCCTCATCCGTCACGTCTAGGTCCAGGCTGGAGATGGTGTTGCTGCCGCCTACGAAGCCGCCGAGAGTGTCTTTGGGTGGTTCCTCCATCCCCCCCTCTGTCGAGAGGGGTCCATACCGTTGACGCTTGCTGGGTTTGCCAAAAAGGCAGAGTGCATCCTCATGGTGGGGGCGATAGAGTCGTGGGTATTGTATGCTCAGCGTTGACTCTCTGGGTCTCTTGTGGCCAGACGCACACGGGATCTTCCTCCCTCGGTTTGGGGGGTCAGGGTCGTCGTTCATGGGATAAGCCGTTTGCGGGGAGTGCTAGAGAAGCACCTCCCGCCTTCGAAAAAAGGTCCGCAGTCCGGGTGAGCGTCACTAGCGCACGGGGACTCCTCTAAACGCGTGGACGCTCTTACCCGTGGGTGTTGCTACCTAGGCACATATCTCGCCGTGTGGACCCTCCTACGCGCAAATGTTGCTGCTTGGGCGCGGATCTCGCTGCTACGGCGCGGATTTCGCTGCTACGGCACGGTTTTCACTGCTACGGCATGGATTTCGCTGCTACGGCGCAGATTTCGCTGCCTGAGCGTGACTTGTGCTACTACCGAGCGGACGTCGCTGCTACAGCGTGGTTTTCGATGCGTAGGCGTGGATGTCGCTGCTACAGCTTCGTTTTCGCTGCTACGGCGCGGATTTCGCCGCCTAGGCACGGATTTCGCTGCCACGGCTCCAGATTTCGCAGCTACAACGCGGATCTCACTGCTACGGCACAGGTGTCGCTGCTGTGGCGCGGACTCCGCTGCCTAGCTTCGCGCTGCTACCTGCAGTTCGCGGGCTGAGCGGCCAAATCGCGGGTTGGTCAGCAATGTCGCGCCTTTGCAGCTAGGTCGCGGGCGGGGCGGCTAAATCACGGGCTAAGCGGCTAAGACGCGGGCTGGGCGGCTAGATCGTGGCCTAAGCATGTAAATCGCGGGCTGGGCGGCTAGATTGCGGCCTAGGTATATTGCAAAAAAACTTGAAAGAAAGAAACCTATACAGCATTATCAACAAAGACAGATCACATTTTTGGGTTGTGTAGCAACCCTATTTAGGTTTCACATTTTGGGGATGTCATTTCAAAAATGATTTTTACGCACTCTTTAAAGCACGGAATTGAGAAAGCTTGCTTTCTTGTCCTTATAATTTGGCATCGTTCTCATTGCAACTGCATCGTTCTCATTGCAACTGGCTTATTACAACATATGCATCGTTCGTAAACACATGCTAGTACATGCAAATATTACTAGCTATGGAGTCGTCCGTCCAAGCAGCTGTGGTCTTGTAGTTGGTCCGGGGTGGGTGGTGGGGATGTTGATTGAGCCGTTGGAAAACGAGAAACGTGGGTGGAGGGAATGAACTCCAACCCACGGTTTTTGTAGTTGGAGAAGGGCGTTTAGCGCGCTTCGACGCTGCCAAATATTCGGTACAGTCAGCTTCGCTTTCACAATACACAATTTTGAAAAACATCAATGTGTTTAAAAATTATAATATTCAGAAAGCTTGCTTTCTTGTCCTTATAATTTGGCATCGTTCTCATTGCAACTGGGGCCTCTGAGACATGGCCAGTGGTGGCTTGCGGTTGCGTAAGAGTGCCTCTGCGTGCTGTTCTGGGGGCAGCGCGTATGTCGGGTCCTGTAGGTCGCGGGATGCCTTGATAAGATGTCCGACGTATGGTGTGACGTACATCTCTTTGGCGGTGTCACTTCGCCACCTGCCCATCCTTTTGAAGATTCTGTCCGGCACGCCGATGTTGGCGGCTACGGTTGCCGCGCCCTTTCGGAAGGAGTGCGTGCCGAGCTGCTGCTCCCCAAGTCCTACTTTGGCGAATGCTTCTTTACACCAGTTTCGGATCGTTGTGTACGAGGGTGGCTTGGCCTGGCCCTTGTTGGCTGAAGCGTGGCTGAAAACGCGAATCAACGACCCCTCGGAATGAGGGCCATAGCCAGCGAGTTGGAGGAAGCGTTGGGTGCAGCGCACGGGGCAACAAGGGTCCGTCGTTGCGGCGATGGGAATCCAGGTTCCACGACCAGCCTGGTCCGTTTTTGAGTGTGGGATGAGGATCCACATGACTGCATCGTCGAATTGGATGTCTTGCCACTGGATGGCAACGAGGTCGGAGTATCGCAAAAATCCGGAGTACATGAGGATAGGGATCAACCCCTTCTGAAATTCAGCGGGATTGTCCGACTGCAAGTAGTTCGCGGACATGTCCCGAACTTGTTGGATTGATACGGGCTCCTTCAAACGACTAGGGCGAGGGCAGTGTCGTTTCGCGTAGTCCCGCACTTGGGTGGTAAACGGTCCGACAGTCGGGCATTTGCTTCCAGTCATGCGATGGGCGAAGCTGACTGCCGAGCACGTGAGCTGCACTACAGACAAGGTTGCTTTGCGTTGGATTGCATGCACCAAGTATAGCGCGAGGGTCATGTCGGATGCGGGAAGAAATGGAAGATCCACCTTTGTGCAGAAGGCCCGAAACTTGGCCCAGTACGGTTCGTATGTACGGATTGTCGAATTCGCTCGCGATTGTGTGAGCATGTTGATGAGTTGGTTGTGTAGCTTTGGGAGCGGATCTGGACACAAGGCGCGTACATTCTCAATTAGTCAAAAACCACCCGAAGTGCGATGATTGGGCTGTGTGGTAATCCAGTGCCTGAAAAAGCAGCGGAATGTGTTCCAGCTGCCAGGCATTGGCTGCCGTGTGTCAAGGGAATGTGCGCGTGGATGTACGGTGCCCAGTTGCGTGGGGAAGGTTGTAAAAGTGGCCACCAGTTTGCACCCGGCCAGTGTGGGATGATCAATGTGAGCGATGCACGGGTGCGCTGTGCGTGATGGAGGACGGCCGGAACTAAATGGGGCGGGGGGAACGCAAAGCTATTTTCTGATGTCCATGCGAGCGAGAATGCATCGACTGCGGTGGCTTGTGGATGAGGAATTTTAGTGCAGAAGCGTGGCAGCTGGGAGTTGCGGGAGTTTGCAAAGAGGTCGATGGAATGGGGACCCCAACGCCGTTCTAAGATGCGGAACCACGGCGTCTTCAACGAGTAGTCGTCATGATCGACTGCTTTTGAGAGCTCATCGGCGTGTGAGTTTAGCTCCCGTGGGATCCATTCGATGATTAGACGCGTGCCGTGCTCCATGCATAGTCGAATGATGTCTTGGCAGGCCGTGGTAAGGTCGGGGCTGCGCGAGCCACCTTTGCGAAGGATGAAGAAGACGCCCTGATTGTCCACCCGCACAAGAACATGTTTGTGCGTGATCTTGCTGGAGTATGTTTGGAGTGCCCAAAGCACACCTTCGATCTCCCTCCGTGTGCTGGACGTCGCTCGCAGCGGCTCTGGCATTGTTGCGCTAGCTTCTTCAAGGCCGCCAGGAATTGTGGTCAAAGTGGCGCCCCAACTGTGAGCGCTAGCATCCACATGGATGACAGCGTCGTAGCTGTTTCGAACGTGAAACGGTGCACCGTTGAACCTGTCAAACTCTTCGAGCCAGAAGTTTAGCTCCTCAGCCGCGTTTGGGGGGATGATCACGCTGCTTTTCCATGAAGGTGCGTCATTGATCACTTGTAGCATGGCGTGGCTGAAAGCACGAGCTGTTGCGCCCAGCGCGACGCCCATTGACGCGAGCATGCCTGTGATTCTGGCCACTTGGCGGACTGAGACGGGTCGACATGCCTTGCTTGCGCTCAACAGGTTCCGAATGGTTGCATGTAGTGAGGCTCGTCGTTCGGGACCGATGGTAAATCGGCCTGTGGCCGTGTCTAGCTCCACACCCAAGAATCGAAGGTGTTGCGATGGTGACAGCTGTGATTTCTTCGCATTTATCACCAAACCTGCTGCTTTAAGGTCCACTATTACACGGTGGCAAGTAGCCTGCGCGTGAGCTTTTGACTGGCAAAGGAATAAGATGTCGTCCACGTATGGTACTACTCGGATGCCTTGCTCCCGCCAGCGACGGGCTAGCTGCTTGATGAGTTGCGTGAAGATGAATGGGGCTGTCGCAAGACCGAACGGCAATGAACGAAAGGAGTAAGTGCGCCCATCGAATCCAAAACCGAGAAACTTCCAGCATGAAGGATGGATATCGATGTGATGGTACCCGGATTTGAGATCAATAGAAAACATCCAATCCCCAGCGCGTGCCACGTCTGCCACACGGCTGAGTCCTTCGTACTTGAATTTTGGGACGATGAGGTTCGTGTTGACTTTTCTCAGGTCGAGGATGAGCCTGCATTTTTCTTTCTGCTCGACCACGTTAAGTGGGCTTATGCACGTAAGCTCGCTTGCGGCTGTCTCGACTGCAGCTCCGGTCTCTGTGAGTTCTTGGATGGCAGTACGTGTGAACGACGCATGCGCGTATGCACCAGCGTGGTTACGCTCCCGAAAGGCCTGTGGTGGGCCGTGGCTCCATGGAAGCCAGTAACCGTTGGCGATGATGGATAGGACGAGGCTGCAAGGGCACCATGAGCTCCACCACGCAAAGGTCGAGCGAAGCCGACCGCACATCCGTGTGACGGTTTTGTCCGTGACGGCGAATTCGTACGGGCCATCGTCGCGAGGCACCTCGTATTGTTGTGCTCCTGTATGTACGGCAAGGAAATGAACGCGAACAATCAGGTTGCACGCCTTAATTAGTTCATGCGTGTGACATATACATGCATGCGCGAAAAATGAACCGTCAACAGTGAGGACCATACGGACGGTTTGTCGTCATTCCATATAGGGCGTCCGATCGCACCTTGGCAAACTCTTTCTCATACTCTCTCCTTTTCCCTCCCCTCGTTTTTTTTTTTTTTTTTTTTTTCTGGAGGATTGATGCTTGGGACCATGATCATGCTTCCCTCGTGTGCTCTCTCTCTCTCTCTCTCTCTCTCTCTCTCTCTCTCTCTCTCTCTCTCTCTCTCTCTCTCTCTCTCTCTCTCTCTCTCGCTCTTTCTCTCTCCCTCTCTTTTTGGATGTGTTTCCATTGTTGTTTGAGCATTTGCATGCTTCGCTTGTCATGAGCTCGTGTCTTTTCGCGCGTGCCTTTACTTGGGCTAGGCGACATCGCTATGCCCTACTCCCCCCCCCTTGCTCCTTCTCACCCTTTTTGGGCTTCCAACGGTTGAACCAGGGCTGCTCATCCTTGCCATGCATGGTGGCGGTTTGAGTGAGGAGCGTACGTACTCTCTTTTTCTCCCTCTCCCCTTCTCCTCCTTTTTTTTTTTTTTTTTTTTTTAATCCTTGACAAACAAGAGGGGCCTTTAATAAAATCCCTATCTCTCATGGTCATACATTGTCATGCCTACTAGCATGTTTCTCATCCCATCAATTGGGGCATACGGGGGACCGAGAGGCATTCTTCCTCTTCCCCAAAGCTAGACCTACGGCCATACTTTATTACCCTATCCTAGGGGACCGAGAGGCATTCTTCCTCTTCCCCAAAGCTAGGCCTATGGCCAACTTCTACCACCCTATCCTAGGGCTGGCCATGGCCACCGCAAGCCCTACTAGGCTGCCCACGGTCTAAGCACTCAAAAGTGCACCGTGCATCGCGCCTAGAGGCGCGCTTCACCATAGCCCGAACCTTACACAACCGGTGCGGGTCCTTGGCCCCCATGCCCATTCCGAGGGCAGGCATTGGCGACGTGGCCTGGCTGTCCGCAGCGGAAACACGAACCACGAAAGCCTTGGAAGTTGCCCGAGGTTGGAGGGCCACGTTTTGGGGCGAACGCCTTGGCGCCGTGGTTTCCACCACGGTGGGAGCGAGCGTGAGCGCCCGCCGCTCGGTCCATGGCAGCCACGTCCGCGACGGCTTGCTTGAACGGCCGCGAGGTGAGAAGGCTTTCTCCAGGTACATCTTGTAGCGCTTGGCAACGCGGTCGTCGGATGCGTCTTCGACTTGAAACATGTCGAAGCGCGCGGAAATGTCGTCGAGGGCGGCGACGACCATTTCGAGTCCGCCCGCCGAGTCGCCGTGCTGCAGCTTGTGCTCTGCGTGTTTCAGGTAGGCCCGCATGTCCTCCAGAATCTCCGCTTTCGCCCGCACGTGCTCGTCGTTGAACGTCGCCGCCGACCAAGTGGTGTTAGTAGTAGAGGGGAGGGGGGGAAGATGCTCCATGGAATGAAAATTTGCGGTATGGACCGGAGCCTCACCATCATCGTCGTCGGAGCCGTCGGTGTCGTTGTCGGCCGCTGGCGCAGGTGGGATGCTGGCTGGTGCTTCCTTGTTGTGCCGGTTCGCCGTTGTTCCTCGCGCTCCTTTTTCTTTTTTTGCGTTTTCCTTGTTAGCAGATGCAGACGCCGCGGGTTGTGCAATTTCCGTAGCTGTAACGCTGGCGGGTTGTTGCTGTAACAGGGACAGAAGCGCAGCGACCTGGTCCGGAGTCAACGCGTTGGTCAACGCCGGGGTCGTCGCGTCAGAAGAAGTCGATGTTCGGCGCCTCTGGCGCTGACGCGACGGTCCAGCCACAGGCGCCGGCGTGTGCTCCGCGTCAGGCGCGTGTGGCACCCCAGGTGCTGCAGGTGCCGCCGTCGCCACTTGCGCCACACGCGCCTCAGGCGCCACAGGCGCCACAGGCGCCACAGGGGCCGAGGGGTGCTGCTGCTGGGGCGGGCTCGAGTTTTTGTTGACCTCGAGCCCGCCCAACAGCACGTCCACGGCAGTTGGGGCGGGCGATCCTTCCTCTGCCCGCCGCTTGTTACGGCGATCGCCCGTCATTTCTCGGGCGTTACGGTCGGAGTCGGAAACCGGCGCAGACGAATTGACGCGGTTAAGTGCCGGCGTAGACGCCATTGTAGATCGATTGTGGTTGAAAATGTCTTGCAGAAGTGTTGAGGGTGACTCGCCTCTGGGAAGGGTGCGAGTTCTAGCCAGCTTGGACGGGGAAAAGAACTACTCGAACGGAAATGTTGATTGAGCCGTTGGAAAACGAGAAACGTGGGTGGAGGGAATGAACTCCAACCCACGGTTTTTGTAGTTGGAGAAGGGCGTTTAGCGCGCTTCGACGCTGCCAAATATTCGGTACAGTCAGCTTCGCTTTCACAATACACAATTTTGAAAAACATCAATGTGTTTAAAAATTATAATTTTTAAGCAGATGCCTCAAGAAGTGGATAAACAATCATCCCTGAACGAAATCTCAAAATGTGAAAGCAAATATGCATGTGCCATGTCGATTAATACGGCGGAAAATATGATCGGAGAACAAATTCTGGCATCGACATGTATGACGAAGGCGAGTTTTACAAATGGCACAAATGGCTATGCACAGCACAACACATGTACGACAAATAAATACAAGTAGCTTTGAACATATCGAAGTGGATGCCAATATAACCCAATGCAGCAACTGAGATTGATGGGGCCGTTGAGACACACTGACAAGTCGAAGACACGCTGCCCCAACGGCGATGACAACCCCGAATTGCATGCACGATCCATATTAACACCACGCCTCGAAACACAGACAACACATCACACTAACATTACTGAAACACAACACGTAGAACGACAATAGCACATAACGATTGTGAATGATTCAAAGCTAAAGCTAACGTGCATCATTGCTGCAGCAAAGGTTGATGGGGTCGTTGAAACAGCGAAAACGCGCTGCCCCAGCGACGATGACAACCTCAGGTGTATACATGAGGCATGTTAGCACAAGCCCGAAACAAACACAGCCCACAACAAGGCAGGTATGTACACGTATACACATGCGCAAGCACTCGCAAACATACTCGCATGCGCATATACACCCACACACACAAACACACACACACACACACACACACACACACACACACACACACACACACACACACACACACACACACACGCACGCACGCACGCGCACACACACACACACACACACACACACACACACACACACACACACACACACGCACGCACGCACACACGCACACTTACACGCAGATACACACATGACAAGCATGCAAGCATCGACAAATCGCAGGTGAGTTGAGATACATCTATAGCATTGCTGGTCTGTCCCCTCTTCCCTCCCCTACACCCAACTTTCCCTCCCTCATCTCTCTCGCCCCCTCCCTTAGAACCCCCCTAGTTCCCCTTGGCCCCCCCCCGCTACCACATCTATCTTCTTGCTCTCGCCTTCCCTTCCTCTCACGCCCTTCTTCCTTATCTTCGCGAGCAAAAACGGATGATGAAGCTCACACGCCCTGCAAAAGAAAGCAAAAACAGAGGATGCAAACAGTACGCCCTGCACAAAATAAAGAACAAAACAACGAAAAAATATATGAAGCAAAATCAAGCGTGTTGCTGAAGACAACAATAATTAGCACATGACAAGTGAAAACACGCTCTGATTTTTTAATCTGATTTTTGACACGCTCTCTCCCTCACTCACATCTCCTTCGCTCACTCGCACCCCCTCACTCACTCTTTCCCCACACACACTCCTCACGTGCACTCTAACCCTCAAACGCTCACGCTTTCTCCACACACCCTCGCTCCCCAACGCACACTTGCTCCCACACACACTCCCCCTCTCACGCTTACCGGTAGCAAAAGTGTACCCACTCCCTTCGCTCACTCGCACTCGGACCACCCTTCACATTTGCCCTTATTTATGTTGTTACTGCCTCATGCTACGCTTGAGCCTGCCATTAGGAGACACAGAGTCTTTACACACGATCACGCTTGGCATTACATGTGGCACAAGCACGCCTAGTGCCGAAGAATACAAAGCTGGTGTGCTTGGCACCAGAGAATAGGGCACACGTGCATGTTCATGGCGCTCACGCCCTAGGCACCATCCGCCTATTGTGCAACACGTAAGGCGCGAGCGCCCTAAGGTCAGCGCCTTCGGCACTAACGGCCTAGCGCAAGCTCCATAGGCGCCAACACCCATTAGGCTAATGGCGTAGGTGCCACTGGCCTAGGTCCCAGCACGCACGGCGCCCGCACCCAGCTGCGCCAGCACCTTAGGCGCCCGCGCCAGCGCCCAACTGCGCTAGCGCCCACGGCACCCGCGACCATGGTTATCTACACATCGATCCCCCTCCCCTTCTCTCTTTCTGTCTCCCCCTCTTTGTCACTCTCTCTCTGACCCCTTTTTCTAATAAGCTGAATGAATGCCAGGGCGGACGAAGCACAAAGAGAACCAGCTTGGTAACAGACGAAACGAGAAAGAATTAGAGCGAAAGCTATACAGAGAAAGATAAAAACACATCTCTCTATCCCTCTCTCCTCCCTGCCTCCTTTCCTCCTCCCTTTCCCTCTCTCACTCCTCACTCACACTCTTGCTCGTCCTTTTGTCATCTCCTATTTTCTGTCAGTCTAACTCCTTCACTCACCGTATTGTGCCGAAGATGCTCACATACGCCGTTGCTGCTGCCGTTGTTAATAAGAGACCTGGAGGCGGGGAATGGGGAACGGGTGGGGGAGGGGAGTTTGTGAATTATTGCCATGTTCAACTGGGAACAGAGAATATGTGCATAGCGCTAGCGAACAGGGCACACGCGCATGCTCAAGGCGCTAACGCCCTACGTAGGCGCCAACATCCACTGGGCTGACGTCCTACGCGCCATCAGGCCACCGCAACTGCGCATCCCCTAAGGCGCCCACGCCAGCGCCAACGGCGCGAGCGCCCACAACGCTAGCGCCAAACGGCGCCAGCCCCTTAGGCGCCAGAGACAACGGCGCCAGCGCCCCACGGCGTCAGCGCCTTAGGCGCCCGCCCCATCGCCAACAGCACAAGCGCCGAACAGCGCCACCGCCTAAGGGGCCAGCGCTAAACGGCGCCGGCGCCTGCGCCTCACGGTGTCAGCGTCTTCAGGGCCCGCGCCTAGGCGTCAGTGCCCAACTGCGCCGGCGCCAACGGCGGCAGCGCCTTAGGCGCCAATGCCCCACGGCGCCAGCGCCAAACAGCGTCAGCGCCCTGCGCCAGCGCCAACGACGCGAGCGCCCAAGGCGCCAGAGACAACGGGGCCAGCGCTCACGCGCCAGAGCCGCCTGAGGCGCCCGCGCCCAACTGCACGAGCGCTTAAAGCGACCACGGCGCGCTAGGCGCCAGCAGCCTAGGGGCCAGCGACCTACTAGGAACCAGCGCGAGGTGCCAGGGCTCTAGGCGAGCTCCCTAGGCGCCAGCGCTTTCTGAAGGGCCCGTTTCTCATGTTTCGCGAACTTTCACGCGTACTACCTTTATCACGCATTTATAAGGGTGTTCTTACCTCACGAGTATTCTTTTAGCGTATGCCACTAACGCAAGCGCAGGAGCTTGTTCAAGGACGTCGCGAACACTTCACTAAGGAGTCTTAGGACTCACCTACTACGAGTGTTCTGGTCACCTCCGTCCCCACCTTCCCCCCAATCCCCTTAGAACGGCAATGCGACGGCTGTGCCATCGCTGTGCTTCGAAAAACGCAGCATGGAGATGGCATGGCTTGGGGATGGAACTTTGCCTTGGGACGAAGTTGCGTCCCTCCTTCCATATGCCGTCCAGCAATTCATTTTGGTTGACAAATGGGGGCGTTCGCCTGACACCCACTTTGATTGTTGGTTTGGATGGTTGGGGAGGCTCGGCACCTTATTTACGGGCTGACCAGGCTAACGGAGGTAAACGAACCCTAACTGACGGGATCAGGAAGGCGAGACCCACCTTCCAGATCCCATCGTTATCCCATGGTTTTTTGCTTCATTGGTGCTGGCGAACAGCCCCATGATGCTCACCCCATGCACGCGAATTTGGTCTGCACCAAATGGAAACCCTGCACCCGTGGGTTTTTTGCCCTGGTGTTGCACCCACGGTACACGCACCTTTGGACTAAGTTGCACACATACTATCAAACATATCTGCTACTTATTGTGTAGGCTGTAGTGGGGTAGCCCATATGGGGTACAACCCAAATTAAGGTTTGCTACTTGTACCCATCCTACTGCTAGTTCTTTCATCCCTCTTCGTTATTTTGACATGGTTTCATAGCAGGTCCTAGCCTAGGACCGATCTCTTAGGGCCCACCGAGTAGCGCTACCCCACCCGTCGCGCTAGTGTGATCACGTCGTACTGCCCTGCCCTGCCCTGCGCTGCGCCGCCTGCAGCAGCACGCACTACTTTGCTAGCGCGCCGCCTGCTGCAGCGCCCCCTACTGAGTAGCGCGCCACCTGCTGCAGCGCGCCCTGCCCTGCCCGCGCGTCGCACCGCTGCGCATGCCCTGCCTGAGCGCCGAGCCGCCGCGCGCCCTACTCTGCCCGCGCGCTGCCCGTGTCGCGCGCTCTGCTCTGCCCGCGCGCCGCACTGCCGAGCGCCCTGCCCTGCCTGCGCGCCGCGCCGCCACGCGCTCTGCCCTGCCCACGCGCCGCGCCGCCGCACGCTCTGCCCTGCCCGCGCATCGCACCGCTGCGCGTCCTGTCCTGCCCACACAACGTGCCGCCGTGTGCCCTGCCCTGCTCGCGCGCCGCGCCGCCACGCGCTCTGCCCTGCCCGCGCGCCGCGCCGCCGTGCGTGTTAGAATCTAGTGGCAGGAATGAATTGACTAGATCAGGGTTTGGTACAAATATGAAACCCTAATGGGGTTGTACCCCATATGGGCTACCCCACTACAGCCTATACATATATGACATGCATATAATTTGACACACCCCCATAGGCAAAGTGGGGGAGAGCAAGGGGTCACAAGACCAGTCAAGAGAAGCAAAGCAAGCTCAGGGTGGATGACAACGTCACCACACACACTGAGCACAAGCAAAGGGCCACAAGGCCAGCTCACATGCAGAGGTATATATGCAACAACAACAGCACAGTGATCTCTACCTACCAGGAGCAAGCATGCAGGTATATACATAGATCACAGTACAGGCAGAGCCTACAGCAAGTGAGGAAACGTAGGCACAAGGCCCAACAAAGTACAAAAGCGCTGATGATCACCAGGCGGAAGTGCCTTGGTGAATATATCAGCAGTGTTGGCCTGAGTGGCCACGTGAGCAAGACGAAGCTGACCACGCTGCTGCAACTCTCGAGCAAGGAAGTAACGCAGAGCGATGTGCTTCGTTCTGTGCTCCAGTCTGTGCTCTTGACACAAGGTAATGGCGGCCTTGTTGTTTACGTATAGCACTGGAGGAGAATGAGGCCGCTCTCCCAAGTCGGTCAGCAGGTAGGTAAGCCAGCGTAACTCCTATGCAACCATGGCTGTGACGTAGATCTCAGCCTCACAACTGGAGCTGAGAACTGAAGACGAGCGTGTAGAACGCATCGAAACTGAACCAGAGCCAAGGCTGAAGGTGTAACCCTGTGAGGACCGCTGCGTAGCCTGGTCGTCAACCCAAGAAGCGTCTGAGTGCCCAGTGAGGACAACGTCGCTCCGTCCTCCAAGCATGAGCCCCATGCCCGATATTCTGCACAAGTAGCGTGGTACCCTCTTAGCAGCATCCATGTGCACCTTTCGGTGCCGACCAGGAGCCACGTAGCGAGCCAGAAGGCCAAGAGGGTACGCAAGGTCAGGACGAGTGCAGGTCATCAGGTACATGAGGCAGCCCACTAGCTCTGGGTAAGGACCACTCGGCTCTACGGACTCGTCCGAAGGTGGAGCTGAGAGCGAGTGACCTGTAGCCAGAGGAGTGGCCTATGCCGAGAACCAGGTGAAGCCGAAGCGCTAAAGGACCTGCTGCACCATGTGTGACTGAGTCAGTGTAATGGTGCGGCGTGCTCTGTCCCGGGTGATATGCAAGCCAAGATAGCTGCACAGCTCACCCAGGTCTGTGCACGTGTGTCTCTTCTACAGCTCCGGCTTCACCAGGGCGAGAGCCTCAGTGTCAGCAGTGGCAAAGACCAAGTCGTCGACGTACACGAGGATGTAGAACAGCGGCAGCGAAGTGTCGGTGCGCAGAAACAGCGACGGGTCAGCAGTCGACGGAGCAAACCCAAGACCCGCAAGTGTCGTCCTCAGTGTGTCATGCCACTCACGCGGCGCCTGGCGGAGACCGTAGACTGGCCGCCGGAGGCTTTATGGGGTACCAGGAGGGAACGACCCAGTGAAGCCAGGTGGGCGGTGCAGCCAGATCTCCTCGTGTAGGCTGCCCTGTAAGAAGGCTATGCTGATTCAAGAGAGTGAAGCTCGTAGTCACGCTGAGCGGCAACGTGCAGCAACACCCAAAGAGTGGTCATCTTCGAGGTGGGGGAGAAGGTCTGGAAGAAGTCGACTCCCTCCCGCTGACTGAAGCCTCGAGCAACGTAACGAGCCTTGAAGACAGGCGGAGAACCTGGCGGCCGCTTCACCCTGAAAATCCACATGCCATCGACGATGTTCGCCCCAGGAGGGGGAACCTCGTCAACGTAAGTGCCTGTGGACTTCCAGGATGCCATCTCTGCGTCCATGGCTGTCTGCCACTGAGAGGAGTAGGGACCCGCGATCGCCTCAGCGTAAGAACGCGGAGTCGGGATGTCTGGTGCATCCGGGTCTCCCTCAGGAGCAAGCAGCATGGACACGAGATGAGGCGCAGCGGCTGCAAGACACTCAAGGTCCTCCTGCCTGTTCTCAAGGACGTCCGTGCTAAGAGCACACCCACCCTCGACGGATGGAGGACAGACAGACTCAGACTCAGCAACAAGACTAGCGGCGTAGTCTAGACGATATGCAGCAGCAAAGTCAACAAGCTCAGAGACTAAGGCAGACGCAGCAGCAGACTCAAACGACGGGTCAGTGACAACAGTGGTGAGCAGACGCGTGACAGTAGGGTGAGCAGCACGAGTGCGGTCCGACTCATGCTCAGGATCGTTAGGCAGAGAAGACGCAGGAGGGGACGGCAAGGGAACACGCTGCGGAGCAGAGGAAGGACGCATGGCCATGAGGTGTGTGCCGGGGACAGCCGGCGGACGCTCACGAGGAACACGACAACGAGTATGACCAGTGCGGACAGTGCGAACAGGCGAGACAGGACGAGATGCAGGCTCACGACGCTCAGCAAGACCGCCTGTCAGCTCAGTGTAAGGAGAAGGAGCAGGCAGCGGTGAGCCAGGCTGTAACGGAAGACCAGTAGAAGACGGGAGGCTAAGAACCTGGCAAAGCACGGAGCCAGGCGGTGGCAGAGACGAAGGTGATGGCGGAGCGAAGAACAGTCGCGCCGCATTGGCTTAGTCATAGAGGTCGCTCGTACCTCCTTGATTCATGCGGCAGACAAGCTCTCCTCCCGCGCCGTTCCCTGTGTCTTCCTTGGCTTTGTCCCTGACGCCCCTGGCTGGCGGTTTTACCACCCCACCTCGTGCCGTGTCCTGCCCTCTTAGGACGTCACGTTTGACGAGTCGGTTCCCTTTTACCGTCTCTTCCCCTACCGCACTGCCCCTCTCCCTCCCCCGCTGCTCTTCCTCACACCAAGTCCTCCTCCGGTAGACCCCCTTCCCCCTCAGGGTCCTGCTACCTAAGGTGTGTCCCAGGTAGATGTTGTCGAGCCTGTCGTGGTCGCTGTCGACTGTGGTGCTGCTAGAGGTGTTGCATCTGGGGGTGCTGAGCCTGCGGGTGCGGGGCCTGGGGGTGCTGAGCTTGAGGGTGCGGAGCCTGGGGGTGCGGATCCTGGGGGTGCTAAGCCTACGGGTGCGGAGCCTGGGGGTGTTGAGCGTGCGGGTGCGGAGCCTGGAGGTGCTGAGCCTGAGCGTGCGGAGCCTGGAGGTGCTGAGCCTGGGGGTGCTGAGCCCGAGTGTGCTGAGCCTAGACGCCCTTCGGGTGTCTTGTCACGGCCGGAGTCTCTCTCTCCACTGCAGCTGCGCGAGTGGTTTGCACGGCGCTGGAGCATCCGGAGTGGTGGTGCTGGAGCTGGAGCTGCTGGAGGTGCTGGAGCCGCTAGTCCCGGAGGTGCTTGTACAGGAGGTACTGGAGCTGCTGGGGCTGGAGGTACTACTAGAGCTACTGGCGGTACTGGAGCTGCTGGAGCAGGAGGTCCTTCTAGCGCTGGAGCCACTGGAGGTGCTGCTTGTACTGGAGCTGCTGGAGCTGGAGGTGCAACTGGAGCTGGAGGTGCTGGAGGTGCTAGAGCTACCGGAGCTGGAGGTGCTGGAGCTAGAGCTACTGGAGCTGGAGGTGGAGTTGCTGCTGGAGCTGGAGTGTTGGAGGTACTGGTGCTGTCGGTGCTGGTGCTGGAGGTGCTATGAGGCCGCGACCGTACTTTGTTCCACTGCTTCAGCAGGTTCTTGGTCTCCCGCCTTCTACTGACCTTGCTCCTCCCTTCCTGTATCCACCGCCTGACCAGTCCCAGGCACAGCTACTGCCAGCCTCCCCACTGCCTGCTCCTTCTCCTTACACTAAGCAGCCTAGAGGTCTTACTGAGCGTCGTGAGCCTGCGTCTCATCCTGCGTCGCCTGTTCGCGCTGGTCGCACTAGTCGTCGTGTTCCGCGTCCGCGTCCTCCTCCTGTCCGCGGCACGCACCAGATGGCACTTCGTCCTTCTTCTGTTCCACTGCATGTCTGTGAGGATCTCGGATCGAGCTCAGAAAAGATGATTCAAATTGAATTGAATGATCACCTGGGTACAACACGAGGCTATATATAGGCTCGACACAAGGCCCCGTAACCAGGTGTTACGCGAAGGTTCCGCGGGTCGCGAAGCGTCCCGAACAGATCCTTACTGAATTCGGTAGAAGGCAATTCGGTGGCAACCGAAAAGCCAGAATTCGGTGCACGCAACCTAGCTCGGTGCTATAACTATAATAAAATATAGGAAAGCACCTAGCCTAGGAAATCAAGCAATTCATGCATGCATATGATTATCCTATGCTAGAAATAGCATGATAAAGTAAAGGCAAGCAAGCATAGCTGGCATAAGCCGTCGTACTGTCACAATGTCCCTCTGCCGTCTCCTCATGCGTCCTCCCTTGCTGACAGTCCAGACCCGGAGTCTGACTCCCTTCGTGCTGCTAGTCCTACTGTCACGCGTCTCCTCGCCACTGTTGCCACTCCTTTAAGTCCACTGCTGCGTCTGCCTTAGTTGCTGAGCTTGTCGACTTTGCTGCTCGCAGTCGTCTAGACTACACCGGTAGCCTTGTTGCTGAGTCTGAGTCTGCCTGTCCTCTGTTCGTCGGGGTTGAGTGTGCTCTTGGCATGGACGTCCTTGAGGACAGGTAGGAGGACTTTGAGTGCTTTGCAGCTTCTTTACCTCATCTCGTGTCCATGCTGATTGCCCCTGAGGGAGACCCAGATGCACCACACATCCCGACCCCGCGCTCTTACGCAGAGGCGATAGAGGGTCCCTACTCCTCTAAGTGGCAGTCAGCCATGGACGCAGAGATGGCATCCTAGAAGTCCACTGGCACTTACGTCGACAAGGTTCCCCCACCTGGGGCGAACATCGTCAGTGGCATGTGGATTTTCAGAGTGAAGCGGCCGCCGGGTTCTCCGCCTGTCTTCAAGGCGCGTTACGTTGCACAAGGCTTCAGTCAGTGACAGGGAGTTGACTTCTTCCAGACCTTCTCCCCTTCCCCGAAGATGACCACTCTTCGCGTACTGCTGCATGTCGCTGCTCAGTGTGACTACGAGCTTCACTCTCTTGACTTCAGCACTGCTTTCCTACAGGGCAGCCTGCACGAGGAGATCTGGCTGCGCCGCCCACCTGGCTTCACTGGGTCGTTTCCTGCAGGTACCCAGTGGAGCCTCCAGCGGCCAGTCTACGGTCTCCGCCAGGCGCCTCGCGAGTGGCACGACACACTGAGGACGACTCTTGCGGCTCTTGGGTTTGCTCCTTCTACTGCTCACCCATCGATGTTTCTACGCACCGACACTTCGCTGCCGCCGTTCTACATTCTCGTGTACGTCGACGACTTGGTCTTTGCCACAGCTGACACTGCTGGACTAGCCCACGTGAAGTCGGAGCTGCAGAAGAGATACACGTGCACAGACCTAGGTGAGCTGCGCAGCTATCTTGGCTTGCAGATCACCTGGGACAGAGCACGACGCACCATCACCCTGACTCATTTTCACATGGTGCACCAGGTCCTTCAACGCTTCGGCTTCACTTGGTCCTCGCCACATTCCACTCCTCTGGCTACCGGTCACTCGCTCTCAGCTCCACCTTTGGACGAGTCTGTAGAGCCGACTGGCCCGTACCCAGAGCTAGTGGGCTGCCTCATGTACCTGATGACCTGCACTCGACCTGACCTTGCTTACCCTCTTAGCATACTGGCACGCTACGTTGCGCCCTGGAGACACTGACCAGAGCACTGGAAGGCCGCTAAGAGGGTGATGCGCTACTTGTGCAGTACGTCGGGCATGGGGCTCGTGCTTGGAGGACAAGGTCCAGTTGTCCTCACTGGTCACGCAGAGGCTTCTTGGGTTGACGACTTGGCTACGCAGCAGTCGTCACAGGGTTACACCTTCAGCCTTGGCTCCAATTCTGTTTTGTGGCGGTCTACCCGCTCGTCTCCTGTTCTCAGCTCCAGCTGTGAGGCTGAGATCTACGCAGGAGCCATGGCTACACAGGAGTTACGCTGGCTCACCTACCTGCTGACCGACCTAGGAGAGCCGCCTCTCCTCCAGTTCTGTACGTCAACAACAAGGCCATGATTGCCATGTGTCAGGAGCACAGACTGGAGCACAGAACAAAGCACATCGCTCTCGTTACTTCCTTGCTCGAGAGTTGCAGCAGCGTGGTCAGCTTTGTCTTGCTTACGTGGGCTCTTGGGCCAACACTGCTGATATCTTCACCAAGGCACTTCCGCCTTGTGATCATCAGCGTTTCTGTTCTGCTCTAGGCCTTGTGCCTACTTGGCCTCACTTGCTCACTTCTTGACTTTGCTTATACTGTGATCTGTATACTTATACCTGCATACTTACACTTGCTATGTTGTGATCATTGTACTGCTTGTTCTCCTTTATATATAACTTTGCATGTGAGCTGGCCTTGTGGCCATTTGCTTGTGCTCAAAATGTGTGGTGACTTCGTGATCCACCCTGAGCTTGCTTTGCCTTTCTTGACTGGTCTTGTGACCTCTTGTTCTCCCCCTCTTTGCCTATGGGGGTGTGTCAAACATATTTGCTACTTATTGTGTAGGCTGTAGTGGGGTAGCCCATATGGGGTACAACCCAAATTAGGGTTTGGTACTCGTACCCATCTTGCTGCTAGTTCTTTCAGTCCTCTTCGTTATTTTGACAGATACAACCAGGAATGTATTCAAGCGATAAAACAAACAAGACACACCCTGTGCGTCCAGGTTTGAGGCAAGGGACAGCATCGCAAATGCTCGTGTGCGAAAACCACACATTCTCAAGCCGTTTCAAGGTGCCCCTAACACACGTAGGGCAAGTTCATCTCGCCATGTGGACTTTGCCCTTGCCCGATACAGACACATTTCCGTCCTCACGATGTGCATCAATCACACGTCACATCGCATGGTGGTGGTTACCGGGTTGCCTCTAGTTTCAAAACAGGTCCGGATGCGTTTGCACAGAAGCACGTTTGTGAACAACAATGTCAAAGTGCGCCCGTCCCACCTCTTCTTGTGCATGCCGTAAATCTCGAATAAGAAGACACACTCCTCAACGCCAAACTCATTCTCTTCACATTCACAGCCGAACAGCATGCCGCGCCTATACCACCGTACGCAGCTTGGTCTGCCGATCAAGAGAGCGATTTGCGAGCACCACGTCGAAAACCCTCATCTGCACCATGTTGACCTCGCCCGGTGGTGCTTCACCAGGTTCGGAATCCGCCCCGACCGCTGCATTATTGGTCGCGTTCTTAAGGGCGCCGACCGTTGGGTGCGCCCTGATGCCGACGCCGACAAAATTCGCGTCCGTGGGGGAGCTTACCCGGTGCTCGAGCGCGCCATCAGCTGGGTTTGTCGCGCGCTGCGCCGCCGTCAGGACGTTTGGTGCATGAGCGCGGTCGGCAAGGCGGCCGACCAGGATATGAATGCTCTGCGAACGACCAAAGAGAAGCTGCCGCGGCTGTTGATGCACCTGGCCGTGACTCCCGCCAACACTTTTAATTTCGATGAAACGGCGCTGCACATTTCGATCCTGGCGCGGAAGACCTACGGGAGCGTGCGCACGGCCGGCCGCAAAATCGCCAAGCAGCGCTTGACCGTCGGCTTCCTTGTCAACGACGACGGTACCCGAGTCTTCAAGCCCCTAGTCATCTCTAAGTCTAAGCGACCCCACGACTTCCGCCCCGATTACAACCCCGAGGAGTACTGCTACTGGCACCACAATGCCAAGGGGTGGATGACTAGCAATGTAAGTTGGAAAATGCAATTGAAAACCTGGCAGCCGCGGTACCCTGCATGCTACCAAACCACACGCTACCACTCAGCCCTGTTGTTAGCATTTGCTTATGTATTGTTTTCTCTCTCTGTTATTTATCTCGTCCTCCCCGCGCAGTTGCTCAAACATTTCATCAAGCAACTCGACACTGCTATGTACGTCGAGGGCAAGAAGATAGTGGTGCTTCTGGACAATGCAAGCAACCGCACCCTCAAGACCGAAGGCGCAACCAGGGAGGACATGTTCGGCTTTTGCACGGTGGCGCTCGGAAACGTTCGGCTCGAGTACCTGCCGCCGAACACGACCTACTTCACCCAGCCCCTTGACCAGGGGCTTATTTCCATGGCGAAGGCGCGGTACCGCCAGCACTGGCTCCGCGCCTTCACCGGCATGTGGACGGCCGATGGTGCCACATCTGCGGTGGCTCGCTTCAAGCCCAACATGCGGGCTGTGGTTGAGTGGTTGAACGACGCGTGGATGAACCTTCCCCCGCGCGCCATTCAGCGCTGTTGGTGGCACACAGGATGCCTCCCGCGCGTCTGGGCCCTCTCACTCCCTCACGTGGAAACCGGCCCCCGCAACAACGGTGGCACGGTGGTTGATGGAGCGGATGGGACCGAGATCGGCCTGGATGAGGAGGTTAACGACGTTGGCCTCCTCATCGACTGGCTCTGCCTCGGTCCAAGCGCGATGGCAGCCGAGGCTTTTGTAGGGATTGATGACAATCAGCCCACGTGCGCCGAACCCAGCGAGGATCCGCTTGCGAGGGAGCCGTTGCCCCGCGATGCTGCTGTAATGTGGGAGGCGCCGTCAAACATGCAGCACGTGTACCACGATAGCAACCCCGCATTCGCGAGGCTCGTCGCACCGCGCGCGCGGCGTGCGAGATGTTGATCGGCTACGCGCGGGCGACCTGCATCACGCCGCGCGACCTTTGCGCGCTTTTTGACATTCGCAATCCGATCATCGTTGCTCGAATGGAGCGCGCAAGTCCCGCTCTTGATCTCAACCACGTCCCCCCCCCCACCCCCTCCCCCCCCCCGCCGTGACTCACGTCGACACCCCGCCGCCTGAGACCCCTCGTCGCCGCGGTAGGGTGCTCCCGGCCTGGATGCACGTGCCCACCCTTGACTGGGTGGCGCAGACGGCCCGCCGCCAGGAGCTCATTGAGGCCGGTGCACCCGCCGTCATGAGCGGGTACCTGGTTGCCGCAGAGTGGATGCGGGTGTGAGAGGGGTGTTTCCTCTCTTGGAGGCTTTGATTGCCTCGTCGAATGCAATTTGTGTACCCCTTGTGCACATTTGCGATGTCCTGTATCAATGTCGGTTACATTTGTGGGGGGAAGGGGTGGGGTACAGGTGGTGCGTAGTTATTGGGCGGTGTTGTCAATGTGATGTTTGTGACAAGGCGGATTGTGGAATGTAATGGTGGGTCTTTGATTTGGGCGAGAATTATGGTAACCTAGCCTACAAATGCCAAACAAATGAAGCCGCCCCACACTGTTGGGGGAAACGACAAGCGTGTTACAACTTGTGCCGTTTATAAGCACCTCATACCCGTGGCAACGAAGTGCGCGAACTACAGAAATCGGTAGCCCAAAGCACAAGAGCACCTTGGGGGACTAAAACGCGCATCAGGTGTAGGGAAAACAATCCTGTGGTTTCTGTTGCTGTTTCTGGCTGAAATCTACACGTTCATCTAGTCCATAACCTTAGACACACGCGTGCAAGCACGTGAGAATCACAGCTAGACGAAAATGAAGCTAACAGGGCGCCTTCCGCGGTCGTAACTCGCCTGGTTCCAGGTTCTAACTTAGGGACATTCGTGACTTAGGGATTTCCGAGTCCTGTTTGTGGCATAAATACCAACAGAACTTTCATAGTTTTGAAATGCGTCCTAAAGTGACACACATCACAATTACTCAGCCCAATAAAACTAGACGAAAGCAATAACACTTATTTCTGATTCACCCAATCAAGAGATGACGCTAAAAAAGGTTAGCAGAATGATTAAATATGTGATAATACTCATCATATAAGAGAACTCGAACCTCTGCAAAAGAAAATAGTATGTAACAAATGATACTATATCTATGAGTAATATTTTAATGACAGGAAACAAACAGCTACATGTGTGTGTGTACGCTTGAATGATGAACATTAGGTGTTGAACGAAGATGAATAGTATGTTTAGAAATAAACGTGAGAGAATGGGTGTTGTTCAGGGATTCCGTTATCATATACCTGTGAAAATGAACGAGAATGAATTGACTAAGGGAAAGTTGGGTACAAGTACAAACCCTAGAAAGTCGTACCCCATATGTGCTACCCCACTAAAGCCTACAACAGCTATGTCATATAAATCTGACAATACCTAACAATTGAAAATAACGATTCTTAAACGTCCTGCATTATTTTTTTGGCAATACACAAATACTTTAAGAGTGCAGCTCCTACGCAACGCTTCCGTCGTTCAACGCCGAATCTTGTTTTCTTTTTCGGAATGTCATGTGCCCGAGTAGCTTGCAATTCGTCCCATCGTCCTCGTACTGCACTGTACTCCCATTGTGAAAACCGTTGCGCGCCTTGTTTGCTTTGGTATTTTTTTTTTTGCCAGCCCTGTCAAACATTGCATATGTTACTATTCTGTAGGCTACAGTGGGTTTAGCCTTAGGGGGTACAACATTCTAGGGTTTTCCTACTTGTACTCCCAATCTTGCTAGTACAACCACTTCTCATTCTTAACATGGTATTAAGAGCCTAGGTTAGGGACCTAGGACCGATTACCTAAGGGCCCACCGATCCGCTACAGATGCCCTCGTGCGCCCTCGAGCGCCTCTCTCCTAGTGCGCCCTCGCGCGCCCTCCTCTCACGCTGCTCGTTTTGCAGCCCGCTAGCAGCCCGAGCGCGGCCCCGCGTTTTTAGCGCGAGTAGGAAATTCGCCGCCTAGGGCGGCCCGATTTTTTCTCGCGAGCCCCAGCAGGCCGTCGCCCGTAGGCCCCGCTCGCCCCTAGGCCGACGCTCGACCCACCGCAGCCCGCCCGCAGATCGCAGCCCGAGCGCAGCGGCGATCGCGCGTCGGTTGCTGCAACTATCGCTTAGTCGCCGCACGAACGCAGCCGCGGCCCGCGCGCAGCTGCACCCTAGGCGCTGCCGCGCACCGAGCATAGGCCCGCTGTCGCGCCGCCCTACCTACCCGAGCCGCGCCGCCCGAGCCGCGCCGCCCGAGTCGCGCCGCCCCAGTCGCGCCGCCCTGACTGAGCCGCGCCGCCCCACCTGCAGCAACTGCTCTTACTGCTCCTACTGCTACTGCTTCGGCTTCTGCTACTGCTGCTACTGCTACTGCTGCTACTGCTACTGCCACTATGGCTAGCCCTACCATTCTCACGTTTGACTCTGAGGGCCGTCCGATTAAGTTTGACGTTTGGCTCGATGACCTACACCTGTTCCTCCAGATCACTGCCAAGGATGATGTTTCCCTGTTTGACCACACGTCTGGCGCCGCTCCCGCACCTGCTGCTACTACTAACAGCACTGCTCGCTCACAGTGGCAGACCTGTGACGCTCATGCTCGCCTAGCCGTTCGCAGCCACCTACCGTTAGATGAGCGCGAGCACTTAGGCCAGCATAAGACCGCTAAAGAGCTGTACGACGCTGTAGTTGCACGCTACTCCTCCCCTGCTACTGCTGCGATAGGCCGTCTCTCCCTGCCCTATCTCTTCCCCGATCTGTCTGCTTTTGCCACTGTAGCTGACCTCATCACACACCTCCATACTAGTGATCTTCGCTACCGTGCCGCGCTTCCCCTCGATTTCCTAGCCAAGAACCCTCCCCCGATGTACCTCACACTCTATCACCTAGTCACCCGCCTCCCTGACTCCCTTCGCACTGTCAGGGACCACTTTCTCGCCCTCTACCCTACCGACCTCACTGTCGACCTGCTCGAGAAGGAACTCCTAGCAGCTGAGAAGAGCATTGTAGCTGAAGGTGCCTCTCGTGGCGACCCTCGCACTCCCTTCTTTGAGGGGTGCTCCCCCGTCCCCCTCCTCCCCTCCATTGCATCTGCTGCTGCTGTCGACTACCTCGGTGCTGAGGGGGTCAGGGCTGCGTCTGCTCCTAGTGGGAGGCGCAAGGGCGGCAGGGGCAAGGGGGGCAGGGGTGGCGGTGGTGGCGGCGGGGGCGGCGGTGGTGGAGGGGGTGGAGGCGGCGGGGGTGGTGGCGGTGGTGGGAATGGTACTGGTGGTGGGGGGGTCGGTGGCGGGGCCGGGGGTGGTGGCGGGGGCGGTGGTGGTGGTAGTGGTGGCGGCAGTGGAGCCGGTGGCGGGCGCGATGGAGCGGTGCAGCGTGGGGGGATTGGAGGTGGCCAGAGGCAGCAGCAGCAGCGTCCCAGCGAACCCCGTCGTCCCAGCAGCTCCGTGAGTGGTACTCTCAGCGTGGGGGGTCTGGGGGTGGAGGTACCTGCCCGTACATCATACGCACAGGTGACCGCACTGGCCAGACCTGTGGGAGGTTTCATACGGCGCAGCGCTGTTTCTTTCGCCTCGACGACGCCTGGCGCGAGCAGTTCCCTGACGCCTCTGAGCTGCCCCGCTGGGCTCATTTGCAAAAGAAGGGAATTTATATCTTTGCTCTTGATTTTGATGCTATCCTTGCTGCTATGTATGCATTGACAATTAGTGTTGAGGGTGACTGCTACCTGAGTGTACCGCCCGACCCGAGTATTGGGACCAGTGAGACAGCTGCTCTAGGTCCTAGTGCGTTTGCTGCCCTAGGTCCTGGTGAGGCTACTGCTCTAGGTGCTAGTGAGTCTGCTGCTCCAGGTGCTACTGCGTCTACTGAGGCACTACACACCTTCACCCTGAACTCAGGTGCTTCCCGTTGTTTCTTTCGTGACCGCACTGTCCTTGAGCAGCTAGCTCGGCCAGTTGCTGTCTCTCTCGCTGACCCCTCTGGGGGCCCAGTCCTTGCGACCTCCTCCACTGTCCTCCCTTGTCCGGCGGTTCCGGCCGGCACACTGTCGGGTCTTTACCTCCCCTCGTTCTCTACGAACTTGGTGGTGGGCTCTGCTCTCCAGGATGGGGGTGTTCACCAGCTCACCCCTGCCTATGAGCGTGTGACCCACTGTACGTGTGCTCAGACGGGTCGCCACCTGGCCACCTTTACTCGGCAGCCGGGGTCAGACCTGTACACACTGACCACTGAGTCCCCTCAGGTAGTTGCGTCTGCGTCTGCGTCGGGTCAGCTGTCAACCCCCTGCTCGTGTCGCACCCTGTCGCACTAGACCGTCCTCTGGCACCACCGCCTTGGTCACCCGTCAGTGCAGCGCCTTCGTGGCATGCACTCCCGGTACCTTGTCTCTGGTCTTCCCAGGGTTCTCCCTCCTCTCCCACCCTCGCCTGCTCCTCCTTGTCTTCCCTTTGTCAAGGGGCGGCAGCGCGCCACCCCTCACTCCTCCTCGTTCCCTCCCACAGAGGCTCCTCTGCAGACTCTCCACCTGGACGTGTGGGGCCCAGCCCGCGTCCGTGGACAGGGCCACGAGCGGTACTTCCTGCTGGTCGTCGACGACTACACGCGCTACACCACGGTCTTCCCCTTGCACACCAAGGGAGAGGTCCCTGATGTTTTGATCCCTTGGATCCGCGCTACTTGTCTCCAGCTCTGCGAGCGGTTCAAGTCCTGCGTCTGCACTCTGACAGGGGTGGTGAGTTTTCCTCCGACCTCTTGGCAGCCTACTGTGCGAAGCACGGCATCCGTCAGACGTTCACTCTTCCGGCCTCTCCACAGCGTAACGGGTTTGCTGAGTGCCGCATTGGCTTAGTCATGGAGGTCGCTCGTACCTCCATGATCCATGCAGCTGCCCCCCATTTTCTGTGGCCGTTTGCAATACAGTACGCTGCGCATCAGCTCAACCTCTGGCCCCGTGTCTCTGCTCCGGAGACCTCGCCCACACTGCGTTGGACGGGGAAGGTTGGCGATGCGTCGGTGTTCCGAGTCTGGGGATGTCGAGCCTTTGTCCGCGATACGTCCGCGGACAAGCTCTCCTCCCGTGCCGTTCTTTGTGTCTTCCTGGGCTTTGTCCCTGACGCGCCTGACTGGCAGTTCTACCACCCCACCTCGCGCCGTGTCTTCCCCTCTCAGGATGTCACTTTTGACGAGTCGGTACCCTTCTACCGTCTATTCCCCTACCGCACTGCACCGCTTCCCCCCCCGCCTCTCTTCCTCACGCCAGGTG